TTTCTGAGCCCACGACTAGTCAGGCATTTATTTGGGCTATCAAATGTCACTATTTAACCAAGTTGTCTTTGTTAGGAGCATAGCCTCTCTTAAAGTCAGTAGAGGAGGAAGGCAATATGCATTGTAGATTCAGATTTTAGTGTACACTGGTAGAAAGGGAAGATCTATACAATTGAAGAAATCAAAAACAATGATAGAAAGAATTTATGGTGTCCATGCTCCTAACTTTGATACCTCAATAAAATCTGGGGGATGAGTTCACTGGAGACAGGAGCTGAAAGGAAGGACACTGGTAATATTTTTTTCCTTTAAAATCAAAACAGCTGTAGAATTGTAAACAAGAAGTTTTGTATGTCTGTGTTCAAGGACATGAGAATTAATCAGCTGTTTTTCTTAGGATTATATTAAAAAAATACCTGCTTTCAATTTTTCTTCTGCTCAGAAACAACCTGTACAATATCAAACACTCGCCAAATGCTCAAGGCAAAATGCCATCTATAATTAGCTTGTAAATGGTTTGTTTCTTCAAAACGCAGTGATGACTTCAGTGTTATAAAGGCTGCTTGGGCAATGCCCCTGAGCAATATGTATTCTGGATTATTAACACGCTGCATCTGATCCCAGCATTTGATTCTTCTCTCTGATACATTCCAGAAATTCAGGAGAAACTTCACTCAAGGGAACGAGCTTTTCCTCTCCGGAACAGGCGTGGGGCCGTCCCCAAGTGGCGATGTGCGCCCTGGAGAGGCACCAACGCCGGGTGGTGGCTCAGGGACATGCAGGTTACCCTGCCTGGGGCGTCCATTCACCTTGGCCAAGTCCCATTGCTGCATTAAAAAAAGTTATCCAACCTTTTCTTCCAAAGGTGCTTCCCGTAGATCTTAAACAAGTGTTCCACTGAGGTTCAGAAAGAAAAGGTCATGAATTTGTGTTATAACTCGTCTAGATTGTGTCTGTTGCAAAGCGTGTTGTTCTGTATCTGAAGAAGAAGCTCACAGTAGAATCACCACCAAATCCTCTCTATTCTACTATAATTATTATTGAGTTGCAATTTATGGAGAAAATATTTCTGATTACAGGGACATTTATAAATGTCAAATGTATTTAATTTTGTTGAAAACAGTTTTAACAAATGTGTCCAAGTAGTAGAAATAGAAGTTATTTTCTTCCAAATATGAAACTTATGCAGGGCAAAATGTTAGAAATTTCTCATTAAAAGAAAATAAACCCCAACCTTCAACAATCTTCAAGGTAATTATAGTTACTTCATTTTCAAATTAAATTCTTACATTTCACCATAGTTCTACAGGTTAAATACCAACATCAGTACAATTGTCCTAAATTTATATTGCTGTAAGAGTTGTGTATTGAATTCTTCTGTATCTTGATGTATCTTTAATCTTTTAAGGCACTGATAGGTCAGAAAATCGTTCATTCCTACTGAAATGTTTTCTTCTGTGAAAAAGCAAAGAAAATCACAAATAGTCTTTCAAATATAACATCAAGAGATTTATTTGTGGGAGTATTATTATGAACGGACCAGGGGAAAAAACCTCACAAAACTGCCAATGGTTAAAGATTTGCTCTCCAATAATGTCATTGGAGTAATTTTATCAGGACTGTGGATCTGAAGATGCATGATAATGAATGATAACTTTCAGAGAAGTTTCAACATGTGTTTATTTCTGTATGTTCTATTCTCTTTAAAACAAGGATTTCAATGTTTATGTCCGAGGAGGGTTAACAGTTCTCTGTGCAGTAGGCTTGGTTCATCTGAGGAGATGATATTCTGAAACCAAGTACCAAGGAAAATATGACCCATTCCTTCACACTCAACTCACCTTTTTAAATAAAATAAACAAGTGGTCTGACACAGAAATCAAACTGCTGAAACAGCCTTACAGTCTTATTTACAATCTTCCCCCATGAGCAAATGAGGGAGAAAATGAGCTACAAATCAGGGGGTTGTGCTGTCTCTGTATGTTAACTGGAAGTGCTTTGCACTGGCACTAATGGGAATGTTATCACCTGTATCACTGTACCTGTGCCTGGAGAAGCTGCCCTAGGACCTGTCCTCCCAGCTAAGGTGGGAGGAAATGGTTCCAGCTAATGAACAAGGGACCTCAGCAATTCAACAGCAAATTATTCCAATGACAGCAGTCTAAAGAGCAAGTACTCTTAAAAGCAGGGCTCTGAAAGAGTGAAGGAGCAAGGAACCACCCTGTGGGATTTGGGAAAATTCCACATATGTTGGGAATAATGCAGAATATGTTTTTATGGCAGCCAAGAAGAAGAAAGCACCTGGGTAAGCTGTGCCAGGAGAGCCTTGAAGTCCTCCTGCCATTCTGAAGGGACCAATAACAAATCTAGGAACAGCAAAAGGCTTTTCAAATCTAAACTCGATGTGAGAAAACTCCTAGTGTTCAGAAGTGGTGTGTAAGTGCTATCTGGAGGGTTGGCAATACGATACAGAGGAGGTGGAGCAGGCTGAGCATCCCCAGGCACTGAATGAGACAGACTGAGGAACAAAAGGGCCAGTGCTGAGCCAAGAGCAGCTGAGCCTTTTAGGGGACCTTTTGACAAATATTGTTCAGTGCCATGTGAAAGTAGCAGCGGTCTGGCTGTCAGTGCCAGGGTGCAGCGCTGCTCTGAGCAGGGGCTGTGGTAATGGGGAGGAGTGCTTTGGATTTACAGCTCAGTTCCCGGAAGGTGTGTGAACCAAATACATACAGGAAACACCAAGATGACCACAGCTCACAGCTGAAGTGCAAAAAATAGATTTATTCCAGCATTTCACTTCCTGGAGGATTCCAAAATCAAACGGAGACACGTATGATGCTAAGCTCATTTTATCAGGGGCAAAGTGTGGCTAGGCCTGAGTCCTGTGTTACCGAAAAAAAGGGGTTTGGGCATGCACAAATCTTCCCCAGGTTGTGTTTTACAATCTCTGAACTTCTTATCTCCCTTCCCCCTTATGAAAAGGCTGCCAGCCTGTCTTAGGAATGCTGTTATGTTTGTTAACAACACTTTGTTATCTGGGTGAGAAAGCTCTTCTATATCAGACAGAAAACAACCCAAATTGAACACAAATACATGAATTTTCTCACACTGGGAGAATGATCTCCCAGGTGCAAGGTTGGTCTTTGAGTGAAAACAGTGCTAGAAACAACTTATTTTCCTATCTCCTTGCCAAGCTTCCATTTTTAACCCTTTCATCCCCACAGAAGATTTGATAGAAAAATAAGATTATATCTCATTTTCTAGTGAATGTTCAGAAAGCTGAAAAATAAGTGCCAAGCATGGCAAGATTAATTAGAAACACTGTTGCTATTGTAGGACAGTGCTTAATTTCCTTTTAATACAGGAATTAATGCTAGAATGGTCTGAGGAGGAGATAGAAAAGAGAATCTCAGCATAAATTTATGAAGTTTCCAATCCTCACAACTGTAGAGAAAAAGAAAGTCAATGTAGAGAACATGAGACACAAAAGCAAATACCTGAAAACAAGTAGCAGAACTCAAACCCTATTATTTTAAAATATCATGTATGATATATCAAAGACAATCTCTTGCTGTTAGAGGGTCTGTCACAGGAAGTTTGGTTGCTTAGGGTTATCCACTGTGTGCTTAGCTGCTATTGCTTCAGCTGATGAATGTAAGTCTTTGCTTTCTGGTTACTTTAGACACATCTTTCAGACATATTTATTTCTGTATAAGTTCTGTATCTGTTACAGACAGGTAGGATATTTCGTGTTTGGGGAGAATTTACAGGAAGAAACCACTTGTTTCATCCTCTATGAAATCAAGCAATTAAATTTACCAAGATAACAAAGCCACAGCTCTGGCAAATAACATGCCAGATATGTCTGTTTAATCACTGATCCACCACTGTTTGTTTGTGTAGACTTCTAACTCTTTGCTCTTCACACCTTGCTAACATATTCTGGACGTTGTCAAACACCCCCCATGCTGAGGCTTTCCCCACCATCAGTGTTTTGCGGGCTGTTTTAAAAGTGAGCTTCAAGGGTGTACTCTGACTTGAAGCCTAGAGAAGGATGCTGTAGTTATCTCATTCAGGATTTGATAATTAAAAGCAGGAGAAAGCACAGCAAAAATTAATAAAATGTATTTAGAAATGAGTAAGGAATCTAATAAATTGCCTCTTTACTGCAGCTGAGTAAAAATCTTCATGTCTGCATATAACAGGCACAGAATTCATCTATGAAAAATGTCCATCCTGGAAATGGCACAGTCCATAGCAGAGGGGAGGATTATTTACTTCCCTGCCTCTCCAGCTCTGAGTACACAAGTAACACATTTTAAACAGATTTGCACAGACTGTCAGATGTCAGATTGCTGTGGCTGAAAGCTGACTAGCTATAAACCAGCCCCAGTTTGCAAGATGAGTTGCTTAATTAGCATGGTGCTGGTTCCTGAGCTAACAGCTCCTAAGCTTGGGCTCAGTGCCATGGCACTGTGGCTCTCAGTTCTGCATGCAGAGGAGTAGACATGTCCATCTCTGTGTCTGCCCAGCTACTTGTGTGCTTAAATAATCTCCTAACAGAAATGCTGATAACATTTTTCTGCCTTTGCCTGTTACCCTGTCACACATTTTGCTTTGATCCTGAACCCAGGCAGGTGACTTCACATTTTCCTGCTGTGGAAGGCTGCTTTCTCAGCAGCGAAGCCTCACAGGTCCACTGTGCACATGGATTAATGATGGTTTGGGTAGGGTGTGCAAGAAGAAGATATTGTCTGCAGTGGGAGCAGGGAGTATTTTATTCCAGGTACTGCTCATTTTTGGGTCAGTTTCTTGAATGAAAGTAGTAAGTGAGCTGCAAACAGGAATTCCAGAGAGTATTTAATCGGGGTACAAGCAATTTGTGTGGAGACACATATGCATAGGGTGAAAAAGACTTCTAAGGTTCTTGTGGATGGCAAGACAGACAGCTTTCTCCATTTTGCTCACAGCATCAGCAGCAGAGACAGACTCCTCCCAGCTCCCGGGCTCAGCAGCACAGCCCAGCGAGGCCGTGGGAGGCGGCTGCGAATCCCGCGGTGCTGCTCTGCCGGGCAGCGGGCACAGCGCTCCAGCTGCGGATCGCCCAGGGCTGGCCCGGTGCTTCCTGCACCCAGCTTAAAAACCAAGGGACTTGACTGTCAAGCAGTCTTCATCGAAGACAATTCAGCATTCTACAGGCTCGGAGCAATAGAAAATAAGAGAGCTGAGAGATTCCCGGCAGCAGTAGTCACTCGTTAGTCAGGATATCCACCTGTGCTCTCTCCTCCCCGGGCTAAATAATGGGCCCTCTAAAGCATTGCGGGGCCCGACTCTCCGGCTTCAGGTCTGCCACTTGGGCCAGTCGCTGGATCCACAGCTCCCCACCTGAGGGCAAAGTGGGACTGCTGGTGAGTTCTGTCTTTGAGCCTTTTTTTTTTTTTCCCCCTCTCATGCAAGCCTGTCTTCTTGGAAGAGTTTTCTCTTGCTGTCCTTTTTCCTATAGAAAATATTTGTTTTCTTCATCCCAGCTAGAAGCCAGCTCTGCCCAGAAACTCCCTGCTCTCCTCAAACTTCCTAAAGCCTCCTCCCACTTCCTTTAAGGGAAATTTGTGCCTGAGAGGGAGGGAATGCTGTCATAGCATCCTACAGGGACATGTCACAAAATCCGTTTCTGTGGGGTGCCTTTTATAGTCTTTGATTATAGTCCCCAGCACAAGTATTCCAACATGTGATTATAGAAGACCAACTAAATTTATTTAACTAAAAACTAAGCAGCAACTCTGCCCTATTGTATCCACTCCCAGTGTTGGTAAATAGCTCCTTTATCTGAATGTGGTAGACTGTGCTACTGTAACTATTAAACCAATAATACTGTTTATAGAAAGATTTTATTTACAATAAACTCAAGAAATAGGCACAAAATGAACTGAATCTGTAGGATACTAAGACATTTGCCTAATATCTTTTAATGTGCCTTTTATTGTTTTAAATGTGTCTTGTGTAATCATGGTGGTGCATGGAATGGACTAAGATACTTTCTTTCTAGCTGCCATAGATTGCTAGTGCTTTTAGTTCAAACATGTAAAATAATCCTCTGTGGATTATTTTTCCTTTAAAATATATCACATCTCTGTAATTATAGCTGCAGAAGTTCAACAATACCACATAATTTGCTTGGCAATTGACATCATAGTTTGGGAGCATTTGAATTTGTTTAGATTTATTTAACCTTATTTCTTTAATTTAGGAGACAATCATTGGATTCTCAGCATTTTCACTGGCCATTCTTGGACCAGCTGGATGGTTCCTGTGCCGCCTTTCAAGCTATAAAAAGAAATAGAAAACATTCCTTCAAAATTAAGATCTAAAGACTACAATAAATTGTAATACTCCAAATTGGACAATCTTGAAAGTCCCCATTCCCACACTGCCACCCATCCCATGGGCCAGGTCCCAGAAAGCTTGTGGAGGTATTGTAGAACTGGACCCAGATGTACAGTGGTGTAATGATACAAAATAGTGGCAGGTCTGCTCTGCCATCACTGCTGCCTTGGACCGGTCTGGATCTGCCATCAGCTCCTGTGAGAAGTGGAAGAGCGATGGGGAGGAGGACTGTAAACATGCTCCTTGCAGTTTGGCTGTTGAAAACCACACCTATCATACTGATTGCTGTTCGACCTTGTGTTTTAGACAAGTAGAACATCTGTGTCTAGGAAACATAGCCCTGTGGTAGACTTACAGGCACCCTATCAAACATGCTTGAGAATCCTGCCCTCCTGTGGGCAAGATTGAAGCACAGTGGTAAATTATACTTGTGTGAATCCCTGAAATACAGGAAGAAGCAGCAGGTTGGCTGGTCCTCCACTGTGGACCAAGCTTTGCAGTGCCTGTGTTCACATTTGTGTTCCTTTCTTGTCTGCTGCTTTGGTGATCCCTGGTTGGTGAGGTTACAAAAATGAGTTTGCTCTTTGCCTTTCATCCATGGTTTTGTCATTGTTCCTGCATCCTTTCTGCACCAGCATATACAGGTACCATCAAAAGTTTAAAGTAAATGGGAAAAAATACACAGAAAAAATATTTTATAGTCATCTCAGACTAAACATCTGAGAATTTAGGACAGTTTTCTTGAGATTTTCTCTTTAATCTTTACATGTGTTCTTTTGGTGCATTCCTCTTCCACCAGGATAAATGTTTTTCTTCAGGTCATAATTGTCAGGTATTTATTTTCAGTTTTCAGATTGAGATTTTTGAGAGATTTTCCCATGATTGCTATTTGCAATTACTATGATAAATACTTTGAAGTCAGACTAAATTTGAGAAAAGTGCAGTAAATAACACTTGTTATGCCACATTACGTGTGTGATAAAAGAATGCCTTCCAATAATTTCAAGTCTGTCTTGCAAGAAAATACAGAATATGAACCTTTTGTGATGCTTAAGTATTAGCGGAATATAATTTAAAATTCCATTAATTCATTTGTAATATCTAATATGAAAATAGATTCTGAAAGTAGGGCTGTGAATGTGTGAAAGTGTTGTACTTGCTGTACTTCTAAATTATGATTTGAGATAAATGGTTTGAGTTCCCTTCAGCCTTGTAAACCATGAAGTTTTCAGAGTGAGAATGGAAATATTCATCCTGAGTGTTTAAAGAAAGTCATACTGGCTTTTTTTTTTTCCAAGAAATGATAGCTTTGTCACTTAGTTGAACAGTCTGATGTGAAAGCCCAGTTGTGTATGTGGAAAGTTTCCCACAGATTTGAATTAATGTTGGATATGTGCCTGCATTCCTGGAATCCAGAGAAAAAGCAATGCCAGCAACTGAAAGGCACTTGGACAGGCAATCTGAAGCCTTGCTCCTGCACACTGTGAGTGCATCCTTTGGAATAATAAGGCTATTTTGCAGAATCTTTTGTAAAAATCAGCTTTGAACATTTCAGTGTATCTTCTTGTCCTGTATCTGATTTCATCGTCCTTCTCTCACCTAGTGATGCTTAAATAAATCAGTAAGATATTACGTTTCAGTTGTTGTACTTGTCCTCTTAAATTATGGCAATGAGATTACCTGGTTATAATACATACTCAGGGGATGTGAGTAAAGCACTAACTGTTGTGTTGGATGAAATGGGGTAATAGATATATGGGGATGTTTATATTGAAGCAGTGATGATTTTTAGAAACTACTTACCTGAAGAGCTACTTAAAATTTAGGTGTTTTTTGCAAATACTTTTTTTTTTTTTTTGGATTTTCAGTCCACTGCAAGCATTTCTTCCTAAAAGTACTAATGATTACATTTTGCAGGCATTTAAAAATACTTCAGTCTTCGTGTTGCTCTCTTTACTAATTGCAAATGGATCTTTAACCCTGGGACTGCAAGCTCTGGGGAATGTGCTGCACAGAAAACCAAGATGAAAAGGAGAGAAGCCATGTCATTGCAGACACCTTCACTGCTGTTAGTGTGGGATGAATGAGCTTATACTCTTCATAAAGTGCAAGGGTGTTTATTAGTCTAAACCAGCCACAGTTCAGCTAGAGCTGGGCTGATAAATGCAGCCAGTAGTGCCCAGGGCTCTGGCTCCAACAGCTGCTTTTTTCCTCAGGCTTCCTACAGCAGCCCAAGGTGTTTGGTGAAAATGGTTGGTGGGTCTGTCATTTCACAGCAGTGACCCTGCCTGCAGTCTGATGGGTACCACTCGGGGCTCCCTGAGTGATGCTGAGTTCTGTGTGTGGACATCAGTGGAGGCCTTTGCAAAGAAAGGCAAGAGACTCCCTCCTGTAATTCCACAGATGGGGAGCACCAAACATGAAATGCTTGCCCAAGATAAGGCAGCAGGGTAGCAGGAGGTGGAAACAGATTTGAAGGATGGTTCCCTGCCATGCTTCTCGTGGTATCTCTACATCAATGGTTTGCATTTCTTGCAGATGAGCCAAAGCTGGTTTTAAGCTGACTGTAAGTAGCACAGGTAACACATATATACCTAAGAGTAAGTGGCTGAAACCTGCTCTTCCACAGGAGCACAAGTAGCAGCCATTCCACGTAAGAGAGATCTTGTACTGAACTAAACTTTGTAACATTTTCATGCTCTGTGATTATGGTAATGTGCTGCAGTGTACAATTAAGCTAAAATACTCACAGTTCTGAGCAAGTGGAAGTGTTTTTCAGCTACTCTGTTGTCTCTTCTTAAGAATGGATGCTCTGGATGAGCTTAATTTAAGGCCAAGTAGTGTTCAGCTTATGGTCCATAAACACTCTGAGTCTGCAAAAAGTAGTTGGGGAATGTTGTGCAATTGTCAGGAGGCCTGAGTTTGCAATTGATAGGACAATTTGTAAGGATCTGCAGATGAGAAAAATACAATCCCATGTGAAGTGCAGCAGCTTTCCTACAGGCTGCTTTAGGAGTGTCCCAGTTCTGTCAATTTAGTTCACCTCCTGTTTCCTCCAAGGTTCCTGTCTCTGATAGTCCACCCTTTGTTTCATCTTAGGTTACTCCTAGACTCCTGTGTGGAGCAAACCAATTTGGAGGAGAGACCAGACAGCTCACTGGCTGCTAGGGAGGCAGTCTTCAAATGCAGAAGCAAGGTCAGTCAGCTTTAGCTGTTACTGAGCCAAGGTCTTGACCCTGGCATGGGTCACAACCTTGGTACAGGTAAAACACCATGGACCTCATCTGAGTGTCGCATTCTTTCTCTTCCCTTGCTTGTGGGAAGTCTCATGCCTTCCTTTGCTCTCTGTAATTGTTTTTGCGCAGCAGAGACATCTTACAAATGTTTTTAATTGAGTGTAGAAATACTAAAGCACAGTAAATATCTGGTTTTCTTGATTTCTCTGTTCATTTCTTTGCCTTTGGGCTGTGCCGCTATGATAGGTTTAGGAGGGCAGTATTTTGACACTTGTCATTTTGATTTCTAAAGCATTACTGCCACTACAATGTGCTTTTATTTTAGCCATGGAGGTAGGTCAATTCTGCACAAGTCTGATATTAAAGGTAAGAAAAGACCCAGCTGTTTGCAGGGGAGAAATAATTCAGCCAGGGTAGTGCTAATTTCCACAAACTTGCCGTGTTAGCTGTCACAAAGACTGTGCCTCTTAGAGCTGTATATCAAATCTCTGGTTTTTTAATAGTCTTAGTGCATGCTTATCAAATTTGTGCTAATTCTTTATGCAGGTCACCATGTATTTCTCAAACTCCACTGCTATAGCAACAAATTAAGTATTTTGTTCACTTAAAGGCTAATGACATTACTCTAGAAGGGAAATTGAGGACATTTATCAGAGATTTTACAGTGACAGATGCTGACAAATGTAATAATAAAGCAAACGTCCACAGACTTAGTTGACGTAATTATCAGAATAAGAGGAAAATTACAGTTTTGTCAGTACAATCAAATAACCACTGTATGTCTTAATGATGTTTTGTTTTCCCAAAGTCTTAATTATTCTAAACTGGGGAAAGAAAGAGCAAATATCAACATTACAATCTAGCTACTCTGTTGGAAACACAGTACTAGCAATGAGACACAGAGCCCTTTACTGCTCCATCTCTCACTTTAAAGCAGCCCAAATCAGGGATGACTGAAATGAATTTGTCACATGCCAGATGGCATAACTGATATGGGTCGGTGGCTTCAGCCAAGCTTCTGGTCACATTATGATCATTTCTGCCATTACTGCCAACTTATTCTCTGTTCTATTCTAATTCTCTATCCTATCCAAATGTCTATTCTACTATACTCTACACCTCCCTTCTCAAAATAGTCACTTTCCTGCCCTTCCACAGGAGGAAGGTTGGGTTGATATTTTTTTCTGTACATAGTACTATGTGATAGTACCACTAAAGGAAGTTTTCCTTTGCATTTTTAAGTCTCAGCACAGAGGCTAAAATTGAATATCTTCACCTCCGAAGAAATTATTTCCCTGCACAAGACTATACAAGAACTATCAGAAATACTGTGTTACCTTTGTGCAGACATAATTTTCTGTGAGCAAGAAGAGGTGCTTTCCCTGCTCGCTGTCTCTTGGCTCACGCTGGTTGACCCAGGTGTCAGAGCCCTGAGGAACTGCTCCAGGATACGTGCTGTTTCCTATCTGAGTTAAGCCCAACTGTTCAGTTTAATCCCAGACAGACTTTTTCCTCAAGCGATTATATATTTCACAATCATTCATGAGGATTAATTCTTACACAGAGCAAAGATTTAGAGACAAATTTAATTTAATATGATATAACTATTGCTGTGAAATACACTCATCTGAGCCTGAGGGACTCCATCTGCTGTTTGAATCTGACAGGGAGGAGGTTGGTCCCTATGCAGGAGCTGTTCAGGGGCTCCAGCTCCACACCAAGACCTTTTCATTGGCATTAGTCTAGCCTTGTAAGTATTCAGAGAGCACCATGTAGATTGAAGAATCCTGAGAGCCAGAGAAACCTGCCTCCCTCTGCTTCAGTTCACTCTGTTTGTCTTTTCTTATTGCAATTACCCTTGCCTCCCTCCGTGCCACAGACTTCAATTCAGATAGGCTTGTAGAGATTAAAGGAAAAATTTGAGACATTTCAAACATGCCCCACCTCTACTGCAGTTTTTAATATTCCTATCACAATGCAGGTATTGATAATATCCTGCCAAAACTGGTGAGGATGTTTTAAAAAATGAGGTATTGGCTTAAAAGAAATTAAATTGGAAGTTAGCTGGTTTTGGTTTGTGTTTTGATAAAACTTAGGTCCTTGCCTCTCATTCAGGCATTGAAATCCTCATTTGTTTCAAACATTGCTTATATTGTATTGGAGTCTTTGACTATGTCAAGCAAGGACTAGTTTATATTTAGAATTCAAATAGAGACCCATGTAATTACATGACTCAGGAAGTCGAGCCTTTAAGGAAAACACCATGACAATGTTTGAAGTGTTGGTAACAGTGAACATGTCTGGATACAGATGTGCAGCTACATATCTGTGTAAGCTGATACAATGATTTATTTTTATACATGCATCAATTCACTTCAATTTATGAACAGTTTAATAAATTTTCTGTATGTGATTCAAGGTAGGAAGGCTTAGGATTTGTATTTTTCAGAAAGGATTAACTTTCTAAAAGTAGAATTGTTAATACATGGAGATTTAAAAAAAAAAAAAAGGAACAACACTAGATTTTGTGTCTTTTTGGAGCTGAATACTTGAAAATGTAATTCAAAGTGACAATAGTCACATAAATAGTGACTTCTGCTCTTGCTTACTTCTTTTCTCCTTACAGGACATTTAATTGATATATTCATGAATTATGTTTTAACTACAATACACACTCTTAGGCAGGAGCCAGCACAATTCACAGAAACAATATGCTCCAAATCCCTTCCACGCCTTATCTACCTTACCCTGCAAAAGCCACATTTCAAAACAACCAGACACACAAGTCCATGGGACATGATAGGATACACTCACAAGTGCTGAGGGAGCTGGCCAATGACACTGTAAGACTGATTTTTATTGTCTTTAAAAAAAAAAAGCAACTGGGAGAGCCCTGAGAAATAGAAAAAAGCAAGAGTCACTCCTGTTTTCAAGAAGGACAAGCAGGAGTGTCTGGGAAATTATAGATTATTTATCTTCACCTTGATCCATGGGAAGATGATGGAGCAAAAAATCCTGTAAACCACTTCCAGACACATTAAGGACAGGAAGGTTATTTGGAGCAGTCAGGGTGCATTAGGAAAGGGAAAACCATGCCTGACCAATTTGATAGCCTTCTGCAACAAAATTACTAACTCAGTGTAGGAGGAGGAAGCAGAGAAAGTTTATCTTTAGCAAGACTTTCATCAATGCTTCCCATTACATCAGCAAAGACAAAGTAATAAAATATGGACTAGGCAAGTTGACAATGATGTGAATTGAGAAGTGGCCAAACAAACTGCCAGGCTCAAAGGGTTGTGCTCAGGGGCAAAAAGTCCAGCTGGAAACCAGTGCTGCACTGCAGGGGTCATCCCTGGGCCACTGCTGTTTCATGTCTCTGCCCGTGACCCAGATGATGGGA